ATCACATCACTGCTGAACGCCACCAGAGTTTATTTACAGGACACACCAGCTGAGTGACGGAGGAGGAGGAGTTTACTCCGTGTGTGTGTGTGTGTGTGTGTGTGTGTGTGTGTGTGTGTGCGCCACAAACACTCAGACGTGACATTAGCAGTCAGCTCTCAGACTGCCGTCCTGCAGGGAGGCTGATAATTAGGAGAGTTTTGCATGATTTAATCGATCAACAGAGGAAAAAGTGGAGGAATATCCACCAGGTATTAATTACTGCTCCGCACGTTCCTCTGCTGCCGTGTCCACAATCCTCTGCACAGGGACGCGTCCCTCTCTGTCTCTCTGCACAATCAAACATGAATGAGCGTGCGGGGTGGTCCGGGCTCTGACTCTGCCCCCAGCAGACGCCACGGGCGAGCCGATCCTCTGCTGCTCTCTGCAAAACACTCCTGCAGCCAAGAAACTCGCCTTTTCAAGTGCACACAGAGAGGAAGTGATGAATGAGAGGAGGAAGGAGGGCCGCGCGCGCACACACACACACACACACACACACTCAGGAATCAAAGGCCTGTGTGCACTGGGAGAGGAACACACACACACACACACACCTTAATCAAGACAAGCTTGTATATTTTATTTATCAGAGATTTATTATTGAGGATATCTCAGCGCTCAATAATTCAGCAGCTCCTCTTTCTTACCTGTAACTCTGCTCTCCACCTGCAGGCTACAGTTTCATTTCCCTCCAAAGTATCTCTGTTAACATGAAATCTCAGCTTTCCTCCGCCCCCCCTCCGTCCCTCAGGGCGCCACGATTCATAATTCAGTCATTAATTTCTCCAAGGTGACCCGGAGCTGCAGCTCGCTGTGATAATAGAATTAACCGTTAAACAGACACACGCCGACGTTTTTAAGGTGACACGATCCGTCTGTGTTCGACTCCGGCGCAGCCGCCCTGAAGGAAGGAAGGAGGAGCCTCCAACTAAGACGACCTGCAGAGAAACTGTGGGCGGAGCCACGGTGACGCTGCTGTCAATCAAAAGGCCAGAGGTCACAGACCGGTCAGCTGACACAACTGTTGATTTAAAGTTTCAGAGAAGTTTCTAGAGCCGTGACCTCTGACCTTCACTGACGTCACATTTAAACCATCGTAAAAACTCTCCGTGTGTGTCTGATCGTCACTTTAAAACACACCTGAGTCACCTGTACGACCTCGACTCGACGACCTGAGGACAGAGGATTTCCTCTTTGACGATAATGACTGAAATATTCGACTTTACCTGAAACTGTGACTAACTGCAGACCGACACTTCCTCTAAAACAGCTGCACTCATAACTCCTCCCACCCAGTGGTGGTGCTGTGTTTGCCTTCATGACCCCGTCCTGATTTCAGCTGTTTTTAAGGCTCTGCTGTTTTCTCCATTATCTCAATTATCAGATTAAATTAGACTGAAGGAATCAAAGAGTCTGTGAGCAGCATCTAGTGACTGATAATTTAAAATTTTATTTTGTTTGATGAGATGTTTTTTAGTTTTTTAATTAATTTTTTTAGATGTTTTTTTGTTTTTTTATTTTATTTTGTTTAGCCTTTTTTAGATTTTACTTTATATGTTGAGATGTTTTTTGTTTTTATTGTTTTTTGATGTTTTTTAAAAGTTTTTTTTGTTTGTTGAGACAAGTTTTTTTGTTTTTTTATTTTATTTTTTGCAACAATGTTTTTTTAATTTATTTTGTTTGATTTTTTTTGTTTTTTTGTTTGTTGAAATGTTTTTTGTTTTCTTATTTTCTTTGTTGAGATTTTTAAATTTATTATTTTTTTTTTATTTTGTTTTTTATGTTTTTGTTTCTTTTATTTTATTATGTTTGTTGGGATGTTTTTTGTTTGTTTGTTTTTTTTTATATTTTTTTTGGAGAAGTTTTTTTTATTTTTATTTTGTTTGTTGAAATGTTTTTTGTTTAATTTAGTTGTGATATTTTTTTTGTTGAGATGTTTTTTTTTCTTTATTTTTGTTGAGATGTTCTTTTGGCAGTAAGAAATATGCAGCAGCAGCCGCCTCTCTCACGTGTTCCTTTTTCCTATTAACATCTGTTTATTTTACATCTACATTGACATGAAACCTTCACAGCTCATGGACCTGCTCAGACTCTTGTTTGCTCTCCTTGTTTATGAGAATCATCATTAGATAATGAGAGTGAGTCCAGCCCCTGAGCGTGTTGTGTTCAGGTGTCAGACAAATAATCAGCCCATCCAGCAGCAGCAGCAGCAGCAGGTCTCAGTGAAGCTTCAGAAGAAAGAAACACAAACAGCATTACTGATCTGTCAGAGGGAGGATGGATTCATGGAGGAGGTTCACAGGTGTGAGAGGTGAAAACCAAACCGCCTCAGAGCCCCACGATCTGAGGGGGCCTTGAAGTCTTCCTCAGGGAGCTCCGAGCAGGAAGAAAGAGGAGGAGGAGGAGGAGGAGGAGGAGGAGGACCACACCGAGCACAGACATGAGGGTCATACTGAACCAGGAGAGAGTTGGTGCTCAATAATGCAGCACAGCAAGAGTTTGAGGAGGTGCAGGAGGAGGAGAAGGAGAAGGAGGAGAGACTGAAGCTCAGTAAAGTTCATGTAAATAGATCCTCTGACGCTCATCCTTTCACAGCTTCATCCTTTCATCTCTTTTTAATCCTCTCATAATAAAATCCACACTGTCACACAGAAATGAGAGCGCGCTGATAAACGCTGAGACCTTAATGACTGAGCGCAGTAATTACCTCTGATTTATTTGATTTCCTGAAATGAGTGTGCACACGTCTGCTTTTCTCTACGCATCATAAAAACTTTCAGAAAAGTGTGATTAAAATCCCAAACGGAGGTCGAGGCCGCCGCCATCGCCGCCGCGTGTGTGACGGCTGCTTTTATTGGAGGGTGTTAAAGTGAAGGTCTGAGCATCAGGATGAGCTTTATGAGAGAAGTTCTGAGTGAGGAGCAGAGGGGGCTTTTATTTAGAGCTTATAAACAGAGCGCTGAATAATTTGCAGCTTTTTAACCTGCAGCTTTGACAGAGAAATAAAAGGTGAGTGTTAATGAAATAAGCTGAGGGACAGAGCTCGTAAAATAAACCTGCTGATCAGGACTTTGCTGCTTCCTGTTTGTGTTGATTTCGGCGCCCTAAAGCCTCCTTTATGCTCTTATTTTGGCGGGCTGTAACGGTGTCACATTAATTTCCCCTGATTGGAGCAGAACAGATGGAAATCTGGGATTGTCCTGCGAAAATTCATCATGAAAAATGCATCCGACACCTGTGTAATTTGCCTAATCATCTCTTCCTAATAAGCTCCCCGCATTAATTATGCACGACTTCCACAATGCAATCAAGATAAAAGTAAATCTGATGACTTAATACCCTTCAAAATAATTACCCCCTCCTCCTCCTCCTCCTCCCCCCGTCTGTGGGACAGCTCTTCTTTTGATCCCCCCCCTCCGTCTGCAGCCTTTTAATGAGGATTACAGAAAAAACAGCAGATCTGTCCTGAAGGGGGCGCTCTCAGAAATAGACAGTCTGAAGAAAAACACATGTGACTGTTTTTATTTATTAATATGAACATAAATTAGATTTTAATAATAACACTGTCATCATCAATCATGCTGATTGATCCATGTCTTTATTATTGGAGATTTTCTGTGTCATTAACTCTCATTTAATCACCTCTTTGATCTGATTGGGCCTCTGCAGGTCAGCTGATCACAGGTTTAGCCCCTCCTCTCTTCTCCTGTAAAGTTTCACAAACTTCATCCTGTTTCCTTCTCAGAGTTAAAGTCATGTTTGACGATACGAGAAGCGTTTGATAAAAAAAAACTGAGCCGTTGAGGCAGATTTGAAAAAAGCGTCCCACCCCGGTCCGTGTACTAAGTGGTTGCCCGTTTTCCGTATCAATATGGGTAAACGAAAAACGGGAAACCATCTGATCTCTGATCTTCATTTGGGTGATCGTAAACGAAAGACGGAAAACGAGCCTTTATCCGATTTTCTACTACGGGTTTATTTTTACTCGAGTCGGGAAATTAAGTCCTTTGGTTTAGCCAGCGTTGCCTGATTCTTGAGCTTTTATTTTGAAAGGGTGTGAGTGACACCTCTGTGACCCCGCCCCCCTCCCCACAGGTGAACTCAGGATACATCTCCTCCTCCTGTAACACCTGCAGGTCTGAGTATCTGTGTTGATTTGATGATTGATGAAGTGTTAATCAGTGCCGTTACCATGGCGACAGAGACGACAGCAACACGGTTACCTGTGCTCTGTCGTCTCTGACACACACACTCACAGGATGATGATTTTCATGTTCATTAATGATGATGTTTACAGAACCAGAACAGAACCAACGATCCAAACTCTCAAAATGACCGTTACCTGGTGACCTCCTCTCACCTGTGCAGGGGTCACCTGTTCACCGACTGAACGCCTTGTGCGGCGTTTGGGTGAAGGCATAAAAATCAGAGAGCTGACTCCATCGGACCGTCTGATAAAAACGTGCAGATCTCGATTAAAGGACAAGTCCACCTTTTTTCTCATGAACCTCGAGGGACAAAATACATCCAGACCTATATGGTTATTATTTATCAGGTGTTTCCTGTCGGACATTTTGACCGATGAATGACCACCTGTCTATAAATCCAGGCATACAGTCTACAGCTGTCATATCGGACTAAAACAGGCTTTTATTGAAGACCACGACCTGTAACTAAAGGACAGTCCAGATTAAAGGTGTGGTAGGAGCAGGAATCCGTTAAAGAAGAATATTTTTCTGTGGTTTTTATACAAAAAATCTTCTAATATCAGTCAATAGTGATTAGTTATTGATTATCTGGTAATATATCGATATCTCTGTGTTCTCTTATGTCTGTGTCGTCAACATTTGAACATTTTTGAGCGGTCCGCTCTTTCTGACTGTAAACAAAGCCGTTCTCCACTTCCTCTAACCTGATAGGTTGTGAGGCAGACGCTGCTCCCCCGTGTCGTTCAGGAGCCCAAACAAAGTTAGCGTGCTACAATATCGGACAGTAGAAACCAACCAGAAAGTTCGGAAAATTGTCTGAATCCTCCTTTGGCCACGACTGCCGACACAAGCAAGAAAACACTCAAACATAAACAGTCAACAAGAAAACAGTCAGCAAGAAAACAGTCAACAAGAAAACAGTCAACACCAAACCGGTCAACAGGAAAACGGTCAACACCAAAACAGTCAACAAAAAACAGTCAGCAAGAAAACAGTCAGCAAGAAAACAGTCAGCAAGAAAACAGTCAACAAAAACAGTCAACATAAAACAGTCGGCAAGAAAACAGTCAACCATAAACAGTCAACAAAAAACAGTCAACAAAAAACAGTCAGCAAAAAACAGTCAACAAGAAAACAGTCAACCATAAACAGTCAACAAAAAACAGTCAACAAAAAACAGTCAGCAAAAAACAGTCAACAAGAAAACAGTCAACCATAAACAGTCAACACCAAAACAGTCAACAAGAAAACAGTCAGCAAGAAAACGTCAACTATAATCAGTCAACAAGAAAACAGTCAACAAGAAAACAGTCAACACCAAACCGGTCAACAGGAAAACGGTCAACACCAAAACAGTCAACAAAAAACAGGCAACAAGAAAACAGTCAACAAGAAAATGCTGCTCCCCCGTGTCGTTCAGGAGCCCAAACAAAGTTAGCGTGCTACAATATCGGACAGTAGAAACCAACCAGGAAGTTCGGAAAATTGTCTGAATCCTCCTTTGGCCACGACTGCCGACACAAGCAAGAAAACAAAGTAAATACCGGAGACTCTGGAGGAATAACGGGCGCTTAAAACGGAGGTAGACCGGACAAGAGCTAAAAAGCCGGGTCAACATAAACGATGGGGGACGCTTGGGGATCTTGGTGACCCTGTAACCTTTCTGCTGGACAGGTAAACCGCTTTAACAAAGTAAGACAAGTGTCTGTAACAGAAGTGTTTCTTGTCAAACGGACCTGCTGTAGCGTGTTGTAGCGCCATCGCTAAACTGTCCTCCCTCGGGTCCTGGACTATGTCACTTTATCCTCGTTGTAGAAGTCCTGCAAACATTGTGTTTGCTGGTCGTCTGTTGGCATCTACAGTAGCACCAATGCTTTTGACTTTCACCTTGACTGGGCCCCATTTGTAATGATCTGAAGGATTTATCTGCATTATATCTGAATTTAATTGGAACGATACGAGCGAGCAAGCAAGCAGGAGCGTCTGTTTGTGGGCGGGGCTTAAGAGAGGGAGAGGAGGAGCTGAGGGGAAAACTGGTTGGAGGGGTAGAGTTTACATTCAAGATTTCTCCTAAAAACTGGAACTTCATCAGATCCTGAGAACCTTTGTTTTTAATCCATTTTATTCTGAAGCTTCGATGGCGTTTCCCTAAATCTGACCCTGTTTGTTCCTGTTTCACTGAGTCTGATTCTGATCCTGACGGTCCTTCAAACAGGATCCGTCCTCTCTAGACCTGGGCGCTGTGGGTGAGGTCCTCGGCCCCTCTAACCTGCTCTAACTCACCTCTCAGTCCGACGCCGTTTCACATGTTTTATTCATATCTTGTTTATGTAATTAAAACAGTAATTGGATTTTTCCGAAAGCCTCTTGTGCTGAGCAGACGTCTGCGCGCCTCAAAAATGCTAATGCTCTGAACGCGGCGAGTGAAAGAGTTGGAAAGCTGCGGAGAAGAAAAGTGTAAAAAGGAAATCAATGGTAAGTTTTAATGGGTTTGACGAGGGTAATGATAGAGGAGGTGAAGAGGCGAGGGCGCGGGTTAATGGTGCTATCAGGACACAGAGCGAGTTAAGAGCAAAGTAAAGGTCTGCCACCAGAGGTTAATTAACCTTTCCCAACCCGCCGTGTCTGAACGCACACGCCGCCTGAATGGAAGCCGCCACGGAGCGTCTGCGGGTCACGGCTAATACATTCTGCACGTTACAATTAAAACGGCATCAGACCGAACCTGATCTGCCTTTAAGAGCGTCTGTGAGCCGCACATTCAGCAGCAATTTACTCCAGTCAGAGGCTGAGGAGGAGGGCAGGGGGTCGGCGCCCATGTTATTTCACTCAACGCTCACGCTGTGATTGGACGGACGGAGCGGAGCGTTTACTACACCTCCTCTTTGTGTCGGCGAACGAACCAGGAGGCTCAACATGCAGACGGAGGACGGGGACGCCGAGACTGTTTCTGAGGTTGAATGTCAGAAAAGATCCAAAAGATCGCTACCTGATCCGTCCTGGAAACCCGATTTGCACTCCACATGTGTGAAACGAACGTCACTTCCTCTACTAGCCATCTTTGTGACAGCTCAGCAATTCTTTTCCCCTCGCGGTCTGTGACAGTTTTGACGCCTGATCGACAGCTTCAGCATCGGCGAGCTCGCTTCAGTCAGAAAAGACGCTTCAGTTCATCACAGTCACACGCTTTTCTTTTCCCCCGACTGAAGCAGAGCGCCGGAAAGTCAAGGGAAAGGCGCCCAGTTTCACGATTACCCCCAATTTCCATCGCATCCCGAACAGCTACAAAAAGGTCGTAACCGCCGATCTTAGCTGATCGTAACAATTTAAGTTAACGTGTCAATTTACACCGACTTCTTTCCATTCCTCTGCGGTTTCTGCGAGTTCTATTTTTTCTGGACGCCGGAGCATGGCGGATAAATTCAGCACAGATTAACCCGTGCTGGAAAGGAAGTCGGGCACAGACACAAAATAAAACATCCGGCTTCTTTTCAAAATAAAACACTCGGAGACGAACAAGTGAAAGGTTTTTAGACGTCATTTCACCCCGATGACACCATGGATGAGGAGATGCTGATTCTAGAAGTCTAGAAGTAGATTTCCTCCTCTGGAAGGACACAATCTACTGCTTATATGTCTATGTGTCTGTCTTTACAGAGACAACTCGTTATCGCATGATTGATCCGACTCGAAATTCGCCTCACAAATGGATCCAGTAGGAATTGGCGGATGGTGAAAATCGCCGCCGTTCTGTATGTGATGAAAATCAGGGGTTAACCTGCTCTCAGTGAACTTTGGTGAAGGTCCGGTTCATGGTTCGAGTCATTCCCCCTGAGTTTGTATCCAGAGCGGACAGAGAGCTTCTCCCTCAGACTGATTAAATTTCCTGTAGTGTCACACTCACCTGTGCGCTCACAGGTGTTCACATCAGCTCTGAGCTCGGCGGCGGCGGCGAACAGCAACAATGAGATGCACACGCACACCCTCAGCATCTGCACCATCAAACGGCTCCACCTCTTTAAAGCTGCAGCTGCACCGCCTCCTGACGGTCCCTCAGAGACCGCTTTACCTGCTGACGCCTCCGCACGGAGCGCTCCCCACGGACACGCCCCTCCTCAGGGAGCACACACACACACACACACACACACACACACCTGAGAGAGGCTGCAGAAACTTCTTTAAAGGTGAGACGACGACCAGCTGAGGAGACGAGGAGCAGCGTGAGGAGAGAAAACTTCCTGTTAGACACACACACACACACACACACACACACACACACACACACACACACACACACACACTCAGAAGAAACTCCTCTCTCTCTCTCTCTCTCTCTCTCTCTCTCTCCCTGGAGTGAGGAGGATGAACACCAAAAACAAAGACAACAAAGGAAACCCCACCAGAGAGCGGACATCTCCGAGAGCCTGTAAACATGCATCGCTGCACACACACACACACACACACACACACACACACACACACACACACACACACACACACACACACACACACACACACTTCCTCTATGATGTAATGAACCTGTAAGTCCTCCTGCTCCCCTCCTCTCTCTCTCCAGGATCAGTTTTTCAGACTTTCTCTTGATTCACTTTCTCAGAGGAAGTTTTTAGAGAGCTCCCTCCCTCCTCCTCCCTCCCTCCTCCTCACCCTCTCCTGTTACGTGCCTCCCCCTCCTCCCTCTCGTATTCAAACGTTGCAGCGTTGGAGCAGCACCTCCTCCCTGGGTGAGGCTGATTCCCCCGGCTCGCTCTCTTTCAGAGTAATTGCTGTTTTTCAGAGAGTTTCAGATTCCTGAGCCGCTTTAATTTTGGGGGTAAATAGTTTTTCTGCTGAGTTTAAAGGCAGCGAGCCCGGGGGGTGAGGAGGAGGAGGAGGAGGAGGAGGAGGAGGTGATGCAAACAGGCAGACCGACCTGAGCGTCTGTAACAGGTGAGCTATTCAGAAAAGGTCCGACAGATCCGGTCTGAGCAGATGACGGTCTGTCAGGACTCTGGTTCTGATCCAGGTTTCTGCCTGTCAGAGGAAGTTCCTCCTCTCTTCTGTGACTCATGGGGGTTCATAGGCGGGTGCATTTATGATAAAAAAAAACACTGTATCGTCTGCTTTCCTTCAACGAAAAAAGGCCGCTGGGGTTTGGGTTCGCTTGTATCTGTGACGTGTTCAGTTATCAGTCTGGTTTGAGTGTTAAAAAAGTGATTTATTGTTCAAAAACAGGAGAGAAAACATGCTGATCCAGGTCCAAAACTTTGACTCCAAATGGAAATGAAAATGAAAGGTTCTGACGACACCTGTGAGGTTTAAATAACCCGCCAAACATCCCAAAACCACAACCCTCAGTGACGATCACCGGACGTGACGTACCTTCAGAAATCAAACTCAAACTTTCTCAGCTGTTTTTTACAGTATTAGACGTCCTTAATAACAGACTAAAAGTTTACCAAAGTTTGACCACGAGAAAGGCGTCATTTTCAAGATGGCGTCCATGATGGAGACACCTCAGGTGAATAGGGTAAAATTTTTAACAAACAGATATCACCATGAAACTTTCCAAGTTCATAACTTACATTAAGACAAATATTTTTTATATTACAAGTTTTGTCAAATATTATGTTTGAATATGTAAATGAGGTCATATCTAATTAAATATGAACTAATTTACAGACATTTACAGAAATAAAAAGACGACGTTTTCTTTTCTAATGTGTACAAAAATCTCTATCATAGAAGGAGTTAATATCAGAGTAAATAGGGTTTAAATAGGATATGTCTATCATCTACCACGGAGTATTAGGGCCACATTCAGAAAAAAACAATTTAGAAAATTAAGACTTCAAGATTAAAGTCATTAATTTACCAGAAAAGTCGTTACCTACAAGAATAAAGTTGTGCTAAAATCATTACTGTGTGTCCCTAATACTCCGCCGTAAATATCAGTTTACTATAATGAATGTTTTAATTTTAAAAGAGAGGATTTTTA